TACAACCCCACCAGCAGCAATACAAACAGCAACTAGAGTCTGCTTTTCCTTTTTTAGTGTTTCTGATCTCTGTGAACTACACTTCATGTACTGAATTTTCCAAACCAGAGACCTAGAGGTCAGGGGACCCAAGAAGCAGCAACAGATGCTCAATCCTAACCATCTGCATCTTCAGCTCTTTGGATCTGCACATACCTCTCCACAGTCATGGTAGTCGCCATCAAGAAGCTGTCACTAATGCTCAGGAATCCCATGCCAGCCTCTTTGAATCCTGAATCTCCACAATGTGGCCAGAGGAACTGCTATCGAGTGCAAATCCAGACACATAAGTCCTTTGTTTACCTTTCAAACCTTTCATTTGACACTGACTGATCCCAGGATAAAGTCAAAACTCACTAATTGTATTGAAAATCCTCATGATCTGGCCCTTGTTTACTTTCCAGTCTCATTTGTCGCTGGTCCCTCTCTTTATTCTGTGCTCTGGAAACACTTATTTGCCGTTCCTTGAGTATATCGTTCTACTTCTCTTGCTTATCTATACTCTCTCATATGTTTTCCACTTTGTTAAGATGTCCCCAATCCCCCTTTCCCTGGCCTTCTCCACTTTGACCTCAGAGTTCCATCTTGAGAATCTTTCCCTTGAGGGCTGCTTAGGTGCCTCTGTGCGCTATTCACCTGAGGTGTAGGGTCAGGAGTGTGATGAGTTCATGGTCAGCCCTGCCCTGCTGTGGTTCTGTGGAGACTGATTTACTGGTTGGCTCCTCCGTTTCTTCATCAATTCCAAGTATTTTCACTGAAAGTTCACCAGACAGCTAGACAGGCATCTTCATAGCAGCCACCACGCATAAAATCTAAGATTTCATGACTACAAGTGATAATAAAAGTGCCCTTTAGTCACAGAGAGAGTGTTCCCACAAACCCCCATCAAATATTTTCATGGGGAGGGAAAAAATTATCTGGCTTCTATACAGATACCTGTTGTATCAGAGATTCCTTAGCGCATTATGTTTGGACATTTTGCAAGTTGTGTGCTGACACGGTTCTGGGAGTTTCTCTGGATGTGGGAAAGGCATTGAAAGTCAGAACCTGGACCATTTTCCCCCTTGATGCTCTGAGGGAGCATCTTTGTTGACCACAGTACATCTCCAGAATTGACCTTGGCCTGGTCAAATTTGAGACCGATTTGAGTAGTGACCTGTGAATGAGACTATATGTATTTTTACACCATTACATCCTCTAACTGATTTTTTAAAGAATGCAATATAGACAGATGGGTTAGCTTTTGCCTGCTAAGGGTAATCATACACCTCTCTTCCTTCTTTTTATTTTATTTTTTTTGCTTCTGGAGCTCAAAATCATAACAATTTTCAAACAGATATTATTTTTGTGATATTTTGTGGCTTTAAGTAATTTAAATCAACTAAACCTACTAATGTTGCATACTATTTTTTAAAATAAAAAAGGAAAAGGGGGGCAGAAGCAACAGTTATTGATTCATTATAAACTTGTTTTTTTTTCCCAGAAGATCATTCTCAGTTCATGAATAACTTTTTCCCAAACCTCCTCAATTCAGAGGCTAATGTTTTAAGAGTTATGAAGGAGGTTGGTCTGAAATTTGCCTTTGGTTTACACTGCAACAGATTTGCAAATAATTAATACTATACACAAGATAATAAAGGAGCTGTTGAATCTATTTCAGAAAAACACTCCATCACTCTTGGAAGCTATTTGTGAACTGTTTATATTTTAGAAAGGAAGGGAAGGGGGCAGAAGGGCGGTGTGGGGGAGAGAGGGGGAGAGAGAGAGAGAGAGAGAGAGAGAGAGAGGGAGACACTGACTTGTTGGTCCACTTACTTATGCATGCATTGGTTGCTTCTTGCATGTGCCCTAATGGGGAGTGGTGAGAAGGGGTTTCAAGCAGCAACCCTGGTTTATCAAGACAATGCTCTAACCAACCAAGCCACGTGGCGTGGCCGGGGCTGAACTATGTTGGTATTCATCTCAAGGGAACTTGCTTTAAATAGTCTGAAAGGCATTATTTTATCATTAATAAATTATGACTACATTATGCATTATACCTGAATGTAGTACCTACATGTAAAAAACTATGCAACTCACATTTTTTCAGTACACCAAACCACTTGTTGTCTTAGTTACATTTTACTGCATTACATCCTAGCTTGCCTTAAGTGCAAATTATGCAATTTAAGCACAAAAAAAGGAAAAGAAGAATAAATCAAGAAATCAAAATACAAATTTCACATTATTTAGAATCAAGCTAAATATATACAACCAAAACTGTACAACATGGGATGGTGAAGAAAATGAAAACATTTCCAAAGGTATTTATTGAGAAATAGTAAAGATGTACATATTTTTACAAGCTTTTAATATTAATTTACATTTCTTTAAATTATGTAGGCCCCCATAATCTATATTTTACTAATACATAACAGAAACCCTTGACTTTGACTGTGAGATCTCCCCATCATGCTACCATAGTAAGGAGTCAAAATGCAATTTTGGCTCATGATGCTTAGTTTGTTTTTTAAAGAAATACTAAATGCCATATTCACTGAGAATGTAGGCTTGTCATAAACAAATGAGCTTTAAAAACTCCATACCAGAGAATGCTGTTGACACTATTTTGCATTTTAGTTCACCAGAGACCAAGGGAAAAAAATTTTTTTGGGAGACTTATTATCTACTTTTTGTGCACAAACTGCATGATTCTAAGTGTTGTTTTTTGCCTCTAAGTTTGATTTACAAACTTTCTCAGGGTATCGTGACTTAATCTTGTATGCTGTAATATTATACCCAGGCCACCTATCTTGATATTTCGGGGGCAACACCAGATGGTTACCTTTCCTAGTCATATACCACATTTGTACATAAAGCAGCCATAAACTCATTTAAGTTGCAGAATATTTTGCAAACTCGTTTACCATAAGGCACAATATTCTGTAGGTAAATAGAATGTGGATATTGACAAAGGGGCTGGTTGCTTGTTGGTTAATGTTTCTCCAGATCAGAAAGGAAGAGGATCTTCTGTTACTGAGGTGGGAAGGGAAGGGTCCTAGGCTGAGCATGCTCAAAGTCACGTGACAAGCTGTGATGCTGGCTCATTGGCCTGCTCCATTGTTGCGCCAGGCAAGCTCGTCTCCTTTGACCTAGCCTTTGGGTTTTATGTTGGCAGCCTCTTCTGAACAGAGAAGCTGCATGTGAGAAACAGCATGGGGTGAAGCAATCAGCGACCCTTTTCTTTGCCCTGTGAGGGCTTTTTCCTCTCTGCACCTGCAGGCTTAGCAGCATAAGAAGCCTTGCTTGCTTGATATGAAAAAGAATGACAAATTTAGATGTAATGCCACGATTCTGTCATTTAAAGAAACTGGCCATACAGTAAAGATAATTTTGTTTTATTCACAGTAATAAATATTTAAGGTTTTAGTGCACAAAATATAATTATTGATAATCAATGCAGCTCTTTAATTTTTAAACTGTTATTTTCAAGCTAAAGTCTAACAGAAACATAGAATTATCATTATCATTATTATTATTATTAGCATTCCAACCTTAATTTGTCTGCAACTGTACTTAGGGCAGAGGTAGCCAAAGGCTACAGAGTTTAAAGTTTAAGGTTTGCATGATGAAATCACAATCCAATGTAAAATTGGATCTCACTCTCTTTCTGCCCAGTGTAAACATGGCTTTCGAATTCAGTAAAGAAATACAGGTTTATAGCCTGAAAAATAAAATCACATTTCCACACTGAATGTTGTGATTGGTCTGCAAAGCATTGACCTTCAGGGAGCCTCTGAGGCCACAGAGGGTGAGTTATCACAACCAGCCTCCGGTTAGGGGCACTGGTTGGTGGCTGGACTGCAGCCCCACATTATGACTTTTTAAACACAGGACTGCAGGTGCAGACATCATTAAAACACTCCTAGATCGTGAAGGCTTAAATTTCCACAAGGGAAATCATGTCACACAAAATGACAGGAGAACCTGTATCATGTTCCTAACATGGGCTACACACCAAGAAAAAAAACCATGCAAACACAACGATGCCAGGTTCCCCTTGCAATGAATGCAGTCCATTGTGCAGTAGCAGCACAGGTAGAAACTAAGGTACGAAGGTCTGCAATGGAGAGAAACTGGATTGACGTGTCAAGACAGAGAACCAGGTACTATTCCACTGTTGTAATTTCAGTACTGCTGCCAAGATGTGGCTCACTTGCTAATTTATTTTATGATGATATTCTAGGTAAAACTTTCATTGATTCACTTTTTTTCCTAAGAAGCCATCTGGGGCATCCACCTTCTACCACCAGGGACGTTTCATTTTTTGCAATGGCATGGGAAAACAGTGCACTTAGCTTGATTGTCAGCCATGTTGACTCAATGTGAATTTTAAGCCATCTTCATGGCTTATTCTAAGAAAGTTTGGGTAACACTCGTTTATCATTTTTATAAGAATATTTTCTTCTATGCAACTTACACTTATGAAAAAGTCAAACTTAAAACAGTGCAAGTCGTCATGAATATGGCTCTTAGTTTTCTCCAATAAAACTGACGAAAGGGTACTCAGGACTTCAACATACATTTCACTTTCTAAGTAAAGGTCCCACAGTCTTTCCCAAACCTCCTGCTTATGGTTGGATGCACTAATAGTTGCCTCATATAATTACTGGAATTATTAAGAACCCAAATAAAACACAAGCTTTCTTTTATTATTACTGTTTTCTTATTGCAACAGATACTCAGTTTCTTGCTGATGTAGTATTAAGCTCTGATAGCTTGAACTTTAAATTTGGTCATATTAAGAATGATCACAAAGGTTTTTGTTTTTCATTATCTACAGAGATTGTCAACCAAAGTTACACTGTAACACACAAATGCTGTCTTGTCTTTAAGGCACAACACATCAGTATGAACATTCTGTTTGCCAAACTTAAAAAAAGAGACGATATCAGATTCCCATTTCCCCTCCCTCGCCCCTCCCCAACAAATGAAAGAAAAAATTGCATCCACTTTCAAAGTCAGCTGCTAATAAAGTCACAGTAAATTATTTCCATCAATAATTTACACAAATTACAGGTCTAGATAGGACTGTCCTTACACAGTCTGAGTGCATTCCAATTCAGATTTTCTGGGCTAGGTAGGCTAAAGTCAGATTCAAACCTCAGGGCTGAGAGGGTCTCCCATGTTGAGGAATGTTGTTGCGGACCACCTTGTCAGACGGAGCACGTGGTGCTGCTTCGCCAGGGTCAGAGCTCTTCGCTAAAGCTGTAATTCCAGTTAGGACTCATTCCGTATGTACCAGCAACCTCCACAGATTTTTTTTTGTTAAATCATTAAAGTGTTGTAAATATAAGACCATAGAGCTTCCTTTCTGTAGCGCTAAAGTTTAATTCCATTCAGCAATCTGAATTCTTCATTCTGGAATTTTCATTCCAAATATGATTTCATCCTTTAAGACAATTTATATGTGTAAAGCCAGAGAGGCATTGAATCACACATAAAAATTCAGTGTACTTGAAATATTAAAAAAAAAAAACAACGGATCTCCAGCTAGAGAACACAGTTACAAATATTCTAATTCCAGTGCTTGATGTAGAGCCAAGAGGTCTGAGTGACTTGATATCCTCCAAAAGGGCATGTTGTGCTGTGTGGTTAAGGGGGAGGGGTGGGAGAGAGAAGGGGAAGGAATGGAGAGAGATCATAACTATTGTCTCAATGAAGCAGCCATACACACAAGGATGTGCAGTCCATCCAAGTTCAAGGGAGGGAGTTTAAGATAGGGATGATCATATTTGAAGGCTTGGTAGCATCAATATGGCATTGTCACAATAATAGAGAAATAGATCTGAACTGGATTGCAATGATAGGAAATGCAAATATGGGGATTTCTTAGGTAGCTTAACACTCACTCTGCAAGGACATCACCCACAGCAGCACCTGGGAAAGCAGTACAGACTCAAAATCCTAGGCAGCTGATGGGAGGTGAGTTGTAACCACTGAATCCCTCCTCAAGTTCCGCCTCTCAGTTAAAAATAACATTTAAACACCATCAACTTCCTAAGCCCAAGGTCTTTTGCCCTTATGAGAGGGAAAGAGCGAATCCCTTTCTATGTAAAAGAATAACTTGCGGCTGGACTACAGGAGTATGAAGTAGAAGGTGATGTGGGATGGCCAACTTTCTTACTTCTTTGGCGTGACTAACTGTCGGTGGGGCTGACTGATCTGCTTCACTGATGGGACGGAGAGCCACTCTGGCAACCATGCTCGTTGGGGGAGACCCATGTGAGGATGCAGCAGTGGGTTCTTGTTGGGCAAAGAACCTTAGCCAGGCCCATGGCTTGTGGCCCCACACAGATATGCCAGTATCTGGTATACGTATAGTATTGAAATTTCACAGAAGGATGTGATTGGAAAAAATGTATAAAATGACTCTGCTGTGGGTGATAATGAAAACAAGGAACTCTGCACTGGAGCAATGAACAAAATCAAAACATTGTAAGTTTTGACTGATGACATCTTATAGAATATATACATATATATGTGTATATATAATACACATTTATGTATATAAGGAAAATACATTTGTATATAAATGGGGAATACATTTTATCACAAATATTAAGCATTAAAGTACTAATCATGATTGTTATATAATTCTTTGCTGTCTAGTATGATAGCCACTAGTCCCATGTGGGTACTGAGTGTTTATAATATGGCTTGTCCAGTTCAAAACATAGATTGAAATTCAAAGACTTAAGATGTAAAAAAAAATGTAAATATCTTATTAATAATTTTTATAATTGTTAGGTGTTGAGACAGTAACATTTTGGACATATTGGGTTAAACTATATTACTAAAATTCATTCTGTCCAATTTTACTTTTTAAAAAAATGTGGCTTCTAGAAAATTTAAAATTACAAATATGGTTGGTATTATATATTTTGATATGGGAGTGTACTTATGCATTACTTTTCCTAAACTTTGAAATTTCTTCTTCAATTTACAAAATCCCCTATGTTTTTAGATCAAATTAAACATAGATATTCACTCAGAAGTACGTTTTTTTTTCATTCAGCTCAGATCTATTTGTAATAACAAAAGTACTTAATATCTCTGCACATGCGATTACAGCTACATTCAAGGAAAGGCATGCATTATGGGTACTAGAGAAACCAGCCACCTGTGTTTCAGAATAGAATGATAAGCCTTCACCATCACCAAAACTGTACCTACATAAACAACCATTTGGAAATAGCATTCTATCTGAGGTTCTTATGCTCCTGGAGTCATGCCTTTTCTCCTGAAGTTTTAGGTGTAAAGCAGAAGCTATAACCACTGGTACACCAAAGCTAACTCTTCATACCATGGATAACTGGGGTACACATTTTAATTTTCTAAGGCATTTACTCTTTCAGGTTTGGGAAAGTGAATTTTATTAGCCTTGACCCAAATATATGTGAATTTCACATAGGCTAAATAAAAGACATGAGCAATAAAATCTTCGCTGCAGTGGCCACATGCACCGTTATTTGCTGTGTGTTCTTATGGTGTCAATACGAAAACAGAAACATGGACTCAGGACACTGACAAACTCCAGAAGGTGTCTGTACTGAGTGCAGCTGGAAGGATTTCAAATAGTAGTCAGCAAAGAAAGTTGTGTTTCTCGAGGCTGCGTCCGCAGAGCCAGTGTGCTGTCCAGGGTCACTGACACTGATTAAGACCGAGGTGCTTTGTGGGAAGCTGAGCCTGCCAGGCTCTCTCAAGGTCAATGGCTTCCAACACATCACCAGACCTTCTCAAGTGGGCGCTCTTCCTTTTTCTCCATTTTGCTTGATTTGAATTGACTATGCACACAAATCACTTCTTTTCCCTTTTTATGAAAGCTCTACACTTAGAGAGGACACTGCTTATGTCATTATTTTTTTGAAAACAGAAATCAGGTAAGCACTTCAGCACATGTAAGTGTTTAGTGAAAACTTTATTAGATGATGATTTGAAATCTCCTTAGGATATGAAGGACAACATTCTTTCTATGTGAAACAATGTAAGTGGATATGTCATTGTTTTGAAATATCAATTCATTATTTTGCTTTGTTTTATAAATGATATCACTTTTATCCTGGCTAGATAATAGTTTTGCTATCATTCAAAGAAGGAGGCAGTAAATCTCTGCCGTGTTGACTGATAGTCCTGTGTCTGGGCCAATCCTGATATCATTCCTCTTTTGATCTTGGACCAACTATTTAATAGTTTTTTAACTGCCTTGATTTCTTCTTCAGAAATATGGGCCAGATGAAAAGGTTTATTTAAATACCTGAGGCCTATGAGATCTTCTGAATATGTTCAAAGCCAGCTGCCTGGCCTCATTCACGTACCAATGGCTCACCGAAATAGACAAAGCTCTTGTAGAAGACATGAGGCCTGCAGCCTCTAAGTCTCTACAACAGGCTGGCACAAAAGGATCTGAATAGTACATCCTATTCCGATAACATTTATTAAATTTTCTCACATCGGTTTCTGCTTCAGCTATTAAATCTACCCTAGCATCTGTCATCAGGGAGCACATGTACTACTAGCCACTCTCAGGACTGTGGGGCATAGAGGACAGATGAAGAAAAGGGTAAGAACTCAATCCCAGGATTTTCTATAAAGCTCACTAAACTTCTTTGTATTGTGAAATTCTGTGTGCTTAAAAATGGTTATATTTTCCCCTTCTTTCTCACAGCCCGTCATATCTCGGTGTGTGTTATACATGCACACACAAATAAATACAAATTTTCCTGTATTTCCTATGGAATTTCAGGCAAAAAAAATGCTAGACTCCAAATGGTTTATTTGAATGTAAGTATTGACCTTCTCATGCTCTTACCGCTTTGCATCTATAAATTTAAATCATTTATCAAGCTGCCATTGGACCAAACTATAGGAATGCAAACAAAAAAGCTTGCATCAGAAGTATCACACCAACATTGTTTGAGACAGGTTACCTTTTTTGCTGCCTGTTCTTCTTCTACACCATCCCCAATTACCACATATACTACTTTTCTGCCAAACCTTTGCATTATTCGTTCAAAGCAACTTTCTTTTCCTGGAAGATAAACGAGATACAGTTCAGAGCGAAGTTACCTGGTTAGCGGCATGCTCCTCATCTCGGCCATCTCCAATCACAACATAAGTTATGTTAGTGCCAAATCTGGACACTATACGCTCAAAACAGCTTTCCTTGCCTGAAAAACAATGCACTGCTTATTCTTCCAGCCATTGCATTCATTAACCTAAAGATTCACATAAAGTGTTAAATTAATTTCTCTTGAACATCAATCACTTCAACTAGCTTGCAATCTCTGGGTTAATGAAATCAACAAATACGTTTGAACAAAGTCAGTCTTTACTCGGGACAGATCCTTCAACAAACGTGTTCCATGCTTCAAAAGAATCTGTAGCGTTTGACCCAGGGAAAATGTTAGTATCTCCTGTTCTACCAAAAGGATATCCGAACAACCTTACAAGCAACTGTAAGTTTTAATACTTACCTTTTCATTCTATATATCAATTTTATCCAGTTTATTTTCAATAGTATAGATAAGCCAGTTGAAAATACTGTGACCTACCAAAGGTTCACATATAAGGAAAGGGAATACTAAGATGTGCATTTACCTTGATACATAACTTTTTCTTCAGATGGCTGGGAGCTAGTCTGCTTGGATTGAGTGAACTAAGAGAGCTGTTTGAGCCACAGCCCTGGGCACATTAGCGCCCTCTGACTGCACTGTGGGAATAATACCACGGAATTTCTACGAGCTCCTCATTTTTGTAACCTTGGCATGATTCTCTGAATTTCATTCCCAGAATATTCACATAGTCATGGCGACATTTTGCCATGTGTCTTAATCTGAGTTTCAAAAGGTGATGGTTTAAAGGAAAACATAACAATGATTTTTCAGATTAAACACTAGGAATAATTTGCCAATAAGAGAAATATTGTCTTTCCTAGAAAAAATGTTTATCCTAGTATAAAGTTACTTGATTTGTTGTAAAGCAAAGTTCTGTGTATTAATCCTGCTAGCATAAATACAGACGCGTATGCAAAAATGAAAGGGGTTGACATCAGGGCTCTGAACCTAGTGCTTATAACGAGGTGGGACTGGCCTGACCAGAGCTTTGCTCTCACTCACTGTGGTCCTGGAACAGCTGCAGCCAGGGGCTCCTCTTGCCCGAGTCAGCCTCGAAGCTCAGCAAGGCCCAGGGCGGGTTATTTTTGGGAGGGGATTTTAAGATTTTGAACTTCTGTTGTCAAAATGCCAGAGCCTAAATTTGTTGACCTTCAGGCCAAGTTACACAACCCATCTATTTCCCTAGGCATTTCCTTGACAGACAGGGAATACTTGAGCTATTTTCTTTTAACTCTTTCAGGATGGCAGACTCGATGAAGTGCTGCTTTTGCAAGTTCACTAGAAGTCTTAGTGTGTGAAAGGCACTTGGAAGTCCAAGACGGCTCCACAGACAGATACTCCCCAGACTAGCGAGGCTGTCATCCTTTAACTGCTACTGAGCATTTTTGGAAATGTGGGTTTCCAGTCATTCCTGTGTTATGATTGTTCCAATTATGTTTTTTAATTCATGAAATTAACTTTTTTTTCAGAAATTAAGGGCACTATTTCAATCCATCTGATACTCCCCTGCCAAAATAGGATTTTTATGTTAGATTCAGATTACATACACAAGGATAAAATACTATGTACCACACTAAGTAAAAATTAAATACCATGGCTAGAAATTCCATGTATTATTCAGATAGCACCTGACAGGATGATAGCTACATAATGAGCCAGAATGATCCAGATGCTGAGTTTAGGCAACAGTTTTCATAAAATTTGCACGTGTATAATGAGTTGCAGGGGACTTTGTTACTGAGTACTATCCAAATTTGCCTGATATTCTAACAGCAAAATTGATGAAACAGGGAATCATTCAAGACACAGATCAAGAAAATCCCCCAAACACAGAAGTGAACACATTTCATACAGAGTTAGAAGCAATTGTCTTACCTATTTTAGTTGCACTGTAAATATTCTCAATGGGGAAAGCACCTCCTAAACTATAGAGCAGAACCTTCGCGAGTGCTGGGATCAGTTGGGTTGTCGTTACCAAGACATTTACGCAGTTACTCCTAAGATAGGGAGGAAATACGCATATTTGTTTTCTAATACTAAAAAGATTCTATCAGTACAGATTTTAAACAACCACTGTGGTCTCTCAATTCCATAATAAACAGCACCTGATAACCTAACCTTCTATCATTCAAGGAGTGCCTACCACCTGGCAGGCACCATGACAGATGCTAGGAATACTCCTCAAAATGGGGGACATGGAAGGAGATGGGCAAGAAGAAGTGTGGGTGTATGATGTTTTTCTCTCCCTCTGGGTCACAGATGGTCATGGAGAGAGACAAGGAGACACCTGGAATATTAAATGTGTTCTGGAATATTATAAATATCTCCTCAGGTCCCTGTGGAACCTCAGAGAAGAATACCTACCTTAGCCTTTAGCAACCATGAGAAGGTTATCAGAGGGAGGGTGGCCTAACTTTGATTTTTAAAAGCATCCAGAGCATAAATAAATAAATAAATAAATAAATCCAGGGCGGGTATTTTTTAGGGTGCTAAGGCTCAGTGTCCCTGTTTTCAGACCCTGGGAAAGGAGAGGACACAGGTAGGAAGGAAGTGAGAGGGTGGGCAGCAGGAGTTCCTGGGTTTTGTGTAAGTGATAACGCAGAGAGTCCCGTCGAGGAGCTAGCACACGGTGAAGGACCGGAAGAGAAAAACTGGAGGGGTCCCTCATTTAGCACAGAAGGGGCTGGATTTCTGAATCTTCTCTTCAGCAACAGCAAAGGCAAATTGGGATGAACAGCCGAAGTCTTCATTCTCTACAAACAACCTACCCTTTGAGAGTTAGACCCCCATTCCAAAATTCATAGCTATCTCCTTCATGAAAGTACTGGGGCCAAGGACAGTAAAGAAACTCCCAGAGAGCAGGGAAAGCTGTGAACCAGAGATCCGGGGAGAAGGGGCCGCAGGGAAATGGGACCATCCAGGGACTCCAAGCCACACCTGTGAAACTGGGAATCAGGGGGCATACTGCTATGGACCTTTCTCTATTAGGTATTCCGTATCACGAGCCTTCCGTGCATATTTGTGAGGGGTGTCCAGCATTCTCTAGATTCATTTTCAGGAACCAGGCCTCCATGGCAACTTAGAAGAGCAAGTTGAGTGCTAATTCATCATGGGTACTGACAGCCCTCAGTACATTTACTATTATGCTTAGGTTCTTTAACATATCATTTGTAAGGAAAAGCTACAGTTGACTCAAAAACAATGAGAACGCCTCAGTAGTTATAACCTTTTATAAGATTTTCATTTCTAAATGATCTCCATAGACATCCGATCTTATTTATAATAGGAGCTCGGACTCCTGGAAGCAAATGGTGGTGCCGTCCACTTATAGGAGAGAAGGAAACAGAGTTCTAGCGGTAGAAGTTTAATAAATATCATCAACATAATCCTGAATTTTACTGACAAGGAAAAGAAAGACCCAACTTGCCTGTTATCAGACAGAAACTTCCCAAACAATGGCAAATTATGAAGAATGATACAGAAACACATTACTATATTGTGACACTTAAAGTTTTACACACTATTTTGCTAAAAGAAGATGTTAGTCAATGTCATATGCAAAGGAAGATTACAGAATGAACACTTGGTGGAATTAAACAAAGCAGAGACTTCTTAGTTCAGAGACGTGGCTTTGCAATCGCGCTTTGGCACTTACCCTGTGAGCGTCAGACTTACATCATTTCTTTTTTAAATTATAAACATTGTATCTGTTTACATGCAATTTTAATATATTGTAATGTTTAAATTGCAAACATTGCCTATATTTATAAACTGCATCATGTGTTTGTCAAACACAGACAAAAAATAAAGAAGAAAATGAAAAGCATCAATTGTCTCACCACCCAGAAATGGTTAACTGTTCTTCCTTCTGTACATCCACTTCCAGAGTTTCTGGTTACGCACAGGTTCTTCCCACTAGGGTCATGCTGTGCATGTACATTTGCATTCTACCTTTTTCATTTCTGTCTAGCATGAGCCTATTCATTTGTCAGACTGTCTATTATTTCCCCTCTCCCAACAAAACATAACGTGTGCAAACTGCTCTTTCATGTGGCTACACCATCATTTTTTTAAGTTTGGTCACTTAGATGGTATTTGATTTCTCAGTATCATAAATAATGCTACTTCATGTATAATTTTCCCAAAACATTTGATTATGTCCTTTGACTCTATTCATAGGAGACTCAGAGTCACAGGGCGCAAACTTTGCTAAAGGCTCTGATCCCTGACTGAGCCATGTTTTGTATAAGCACCTGTTTTTCTGATACCCAGACGTGTTGTGAAAATTACCAATAGCGTTACACGGGTGAATAACTGAGCAAATTTCATGGCACTTCCATCTTCAGTGCGTAATGACTTATGTTGCCCTTCCTTTCCTTGTTGTGCCTTATTTCTCACAAATCCCACACCCATGTAGTTCTTCCAAGGCCATGTGTTTACCAGTAGTCTTCATGCAACTACAGTATATACAACATGTGTATAATCTATATAATAATTCAGTTTTTTAACTATCTAGGAGACTCTTTTTAGAAATAATAAAAGTGGTTGCACTCCTCCTGCCCAGAGAAATGCACATTCACTACACTTTGTACACAGTTTCAGGGGCTCGGGCATCCTCACACCCCAGCTCTCTCACCGCTGGTCTCCGTGCCAGCAGTTACAGAGATCATGAGACAGCCAGTCTCACTGTCAAAGCATCTGTGACTGTTGGGTCTGCACACGGAGCAGGAGCCTCCTTTCCCACTCAGCCGTCCTAATTCTTTCCTTCGCCGACACAGAGAAATGTAACCCATGATCAGCGGGACATCTCCAACAGCTGAATCGGTAGTGTTGTTCCGCACAGGGCTCTTCTTCAGGCTGAACTCTGCGGTTTCTCCCCCGAAGTGTTCCTTTCATATGGTTTCCACAGCCTGAACCCTCTGGCCATTGAGACACACGATGCTTCCAATGCGTCACAGCTCGCCGGAACTTGGTGCTCAGGACTGAGCAAAGTGCTCTGTCCCCAGCCTGACCCAGGGAGCGCTCTCCCGCTGCCCCTCCCTCCCCACTTGGACTCTGCGGGATCGGGCAGTTGCTGGTCACGGCCGGTGGACAGAAGTCCAGCACAGGATCAGACACACACCCGTTTACTCCGTGTTCTGAACACTGGCCTCTCCTTTTACCCCGCCAACGTTTTTCTGGATCCTGACTCAGTCAATCTAAATACCCTCTTTTTTGTGAATTTTGTGTTACTCACACTTTTCTAAGCATGCTTTTATGTACTCATCTAACTCATATAAAACTAAAGAATAGAATAGTACAAAGATTCATCCCCACCCTACTAGGTATGTCTTTCCAGATTTATATTATTTTATTCATTAGCATTTATAGCACATGGTGCTCAATAGTTACAAGTCTTTTCAATTCCATTATTGAGACTACCAAGTCAGCACTTCACTGTTTAGTTCAGAAAATGCAAAGGTTACAATGTTTCAAGATTTTTCTCCTCCCTGTTTGATGCATTTAAGTCATGTGAGTTAACTATAATGACACGAATGTCCACTCTTTGTATCAGCAGTACTGTTTTATTTTTGTGCCATCCTCTCCTGGACTTCATCACCCACAGTGATACCCTTTTTTATTAGACGTCGCATGCTCTTCCCGTGGGCATTACTCATGGATATGAGGAGGGAAGGGTAGAGAGATGGGATCTCCTGGTTAACCCAAGAAGTGACAACCCCCATCCTTCACCCCAAAATGCACACACACACACCGAAATCATGGGACTTGGTGAACTATTAGGTCCCTTTAGATGCTAAAATAGTCTAGTAATTAAAACATTCTCATGTATGCTGTGCTATGAGGACTACAGAAACTATTAGGAGTGTATATCTTTAGCACAATCAACAGAGAAACAGCAACGATACCACTCACCTAGTACTAATGATTGACAGAGACTTGAGTGCATTTGTTAGCCAGGAGTCGGTCAGGCCTTCGATCTCCGCCCTTAGCTGCAGCCACGCGTCTCTCTTGGCCGGGCCAAGGAGTCCTGTAACGCGGAAGCAAGGCAGAGTCAGGAGGGGAACGTTTTCCAAGGACACCCCTGTTCGTCTCCCTGCTGTCTAGCACAGATCATTTTTATTCCAGCACGTGTCAGGAACGGAGAGAGACGCTGCCTCGTCTCGACACTGATCCTTCATTTCAGAATTGATTATCCATTCAGTCATTCCTCAATGTGCACTGAACAGCTTCTGGATGTCAGGTACCGGGCCGTAACAGTGAGAAGGCGGGTCAGTGCCTGCCCTCCTGAACCCACAAAGTGGCCCAGAGGATGAGATCCTCTGTGTTGCTGTGACTGTCGGGCACCTGGGCTCCTCTCCGGGCTGTGCTGCAGCAGGTCTGGGGGAGGGTCGGGGGCTGCCAGCCTCACATGAGGGTGAATACCTCAAATGTGTGGCTGTCTGAAAAGGTTTAGCTGCTTAATAATCACAGTCATTGCCACTTGGAAAACATAATAATGGCTTTATCATATGTAGCTCATAGAATGCTTCTAATATTGGTATGAAAGTCAGGATAAATACTTTGTTTTACAAGAAGTTAAGAATTGTGCTGAAAATCCTGAAGTACAGGACGGTTTTAGACAATGGTTAGAGACTCCATTGAAGTTATGATAAGAAAAGAAACAGGCATCCTAATTTTGTACTCTAAGCCCTTCTTTTTATGGTAAAACAAGATATGCAAATCCATTACAAATGAAAGTTTCTTATTTTAATTGCATTTCGGAATACTGGAAACACACATGTATATATTAGGTGGGCAATTTTTTAAAATCAAAATTTATATTTTCTATTAAGTCTCACTTGTCCTTATTCCAATACAGAGATGCTGAACTGTCACAGAAAATGGACTCTTGCATTGCTGTTTAAGCTTTTTAAGAGGTAAGATTATTTATTAGTAATCTTGTTAGCTTTGAAGTAATTTTACTAAAACTCTTCAGAAAGGAAATAATATATCTTTATATTAAAAATTCAGATTTTCCAAAAGGATATTATTTTAAAGTTACACACATTGCCCACAATTGATTTTAAATATAATAATACCTGTTCACTCGATTTTTACAAAAGTGTTTTGTATAGAGCATTAGAGTGAATTAGGAAACATGAGGTGTCTCCCTAGGACCCTGGGCACGTCAGCAGCCTGCAGTGGCCTATTTCTCATTTGGAAATGAAGGCTTTCCACACATAAGCTCCCTTTTGGTTCTAACATTATCACTGCCTATGGTTCTGCATTTCCCCCTTCTCTTGCAGGTACTGAGTATCTGTTGAGCATCTGTTATGTATCTCAAGGCACTGGGGACAAGGTGATGGACCTGCAGCCCCACCTTCCTGATGAGTAAGGGAGTGTGTAGTGTAGGTACTATACATAAACGTTTTATTTCCTGTACTATGTTCCTCGACATACATGTGGCTATACATGTATATACATATAGTATGCACAAGTGTACTTAGCTGTATTATTTAATTTTAATTATGGTTTATGCTCCTCATTCATCCTTTTTTTTTTTCATTTTAAAAAAAGAAACAAAAAAAATCCCTGGGAGAAAACTCTTGTGTGACCGCATGGCTAACCTTAGATCTTGACCTAAAATTGATCCTAATAGTAAGATATCATCAAGATTTATTTGATCAAAAAATGCATTCCAGATCTTAGTTTTGATGTCATAGGTTTTGCTCACCTGTAAGGTACCAGTGAGTCTAAAAGGACTGAGATAATACCTGGAAAGTATTTGAACTTTTAAAAACCTCGGGGATAGTCATAGTTCACAGGATATGTGGGAAAGATTACTCTCAGCTACATGAAATCTTTAAAAGGATAAAATAAGCCCTGGCTGGTGTAGCTCAGTGGATTGAGCGCAGGCTATGAACCAAAGTGTCGCAGGTTCAATTCCCAGTCGGGGTACATGCCTGGGTTGCAGGCCATGACCCCCAGCAACCGCACATTGATGTTTCTCTCTCTGTCTCTTTCTCCCTCCCTTCCCTCTCTAAAAATAAATAAATAAAATCTTTTTAAAAAGGATAAAATAGATCGCTTGAAGTCTTTGAAATGACAAAGAGCACTTGTTTATATTTATTTCTGGTAGGAGCCCAGGAAGGTAACAGCTCTGCGGAGTTGCTAACAGCTGCGTGTGAAAGCCCGGAGCGCTCATCTGTGCAGGTGTCCCCACGGCCTCCTCAGCTGCTCTGCCGGGTTTTCCCCGGTAGCGTCCCAGCTGTAGAAGGTACACCATCGGTCCTTCATCTAATCTTGAACAAATATCTGGGAACAGTAAATTCCCAATGTGTTTGACAAAGCTGCACATTTTATGTGGCAGTTATATTGCTCCCCCCAACCCACTCCAAGATTAAACTTAAACTTCTGGATCAACGTAGGTCAGCATGGGCTCCTGCTAATCTATTTCACAGTAGGACAGTTCAAATTCTACCTCTACCTCCAGTGCCTTCATCAGATTTAAAAAGCCACACATACCTCCGACATTGTTCTTGTAGGTGTTGTATAATTCTTTTACTCTTCTGTAACGAAAAGCCAACTTCCTCATCCAGTCCACCCCTCCTCTTACACCTGTTGGCAAACAAAGGTTTGCACTACTTGCAGCTGCATGGAAGCCATCAGTTGCAAAACTGTAGGTACTGCAACACCCAAAATATATTAAAAAGAGATAAAAGAAATAATTACATGTGCAAAACTGCATAGTTGAATTTCTGTAGGAAATAGAATACTAAAAGGCATGGCTTACCTTAAGTCCTGCCCATTATCATCAGAGGAAACATCATCTATATGAACTTGATCACACTCCTGTTAAAAATATTAGAAAAGTTATTATGTTTTTCAAATGATGCCTATCACCGTGTTTGAAGGTTTCGCGGCCATTCCATTATTATCAGGCTATGGCCAGCAGAGGGCAGCCTTTGCCCACATATGCCAACATCTCCTGCTGAGAAAGGGCACCCTTTCTACTCTGTAAAACCTAAATCCAGAAGAGTGCCATAAAAAGGGGCCTGAAAACATATGGCATGTGGGTTTCTTTAACATAATTTAAAAAATAGTTTTAGTCTTAAGATTTTTGATAAGAAATTCTTTTTTGAATCTTTGTAATAATCACTGGTGTTCCCTTTCAGCCATTTCTCCACTTGGGTCGTGCATACTGATGTGCTAAATAAAGCAAGGCTGGTCCGAGGATACACAAAATTGTTTGGTCCCAGCACCTCAGGTGGTTGCTGTTCTTTATTATTTGCTGAAGGGCCTGATGACGACGGTGAGCTCTGGGAGAGCCCCACGGCTTCCTGCCTTGCAGGGCAGGGGCGGGGCGGGCAGAGATCCCACGAAAAAACCAGGCGGGTGTTATTTTAAGTCCTGGTCTTTTAACACGGGGGGCGGGGGGGGGGGGGAAGCTAATAACCACAGACACCAATGTTGTCTTTTTTTGTTCAATTTTAGTATCTTTACAGTAAAAAACCTTAAAAGTAAAAGGGAAACAAGGAAGATTTACCACATCCAATGTGCTACAAACTCAGAGGAAAATAAACTTCAGGGATGGACACTCAGCAACGGATCTGATGTAACATACAGTGTGCTCAGAACACATGGAGCGGTAACTCTTCTGTGTGAGAACTCAGTTCTTCTTTACTGTGCTTCTTGACTATTGTACGCGACCGAAGGGTGAAATCTGGCTAAGGCATTAAAAAACTTGGCACTTAATGACCTCAGATTAAATATGTTTTAGCCTTTTGGGCTTCTTTCTCCCTCAAATTATTTCAGTCATTCTCTCAGATTCTGACTGTATGCATAGTGCTTACCATTCAAAACCAATTAAAAAGTCATAAACTTTGAAAACAACATGGCATCCTAAAAAGAAAAGACTTCCCATCTACTATATGTCCTCATTGTAGGACTTGAAAGTATCTGGTAGTGAAATATTTAATATCTCACCTCCAGCTTTTCACACTAGTTTCTTTTAAAAATATAAAAACCTTAACAACTAGCCCAACCAATACAACTTTAGAATATACATTGAAATACATTAATTTTACATTAATACATTACGGTACATTAATTTTAAAGGTTCATGTGATTTATGTAAATTATGGGTTAGGAACATTTTGAATAAATCTCTACCTATATTTACAGGTAAGGAAGGGACAGGTAAGCTAATGTGGCTGGCGGCTCCCTGAGGCGGGTGTTTGGGTCACCCCGTTACACTCCCCCCCTCCACTGATGGTGCCATCTGTCACAGAGTAACCACTCAACAATTCTTTGTTGAATAAATGACAGAAGTCTAGACAAATTATCGCCCTTGACAGAATGACCACAGTCATTTAAATTCTCTAACACAACGCTACGGTGATATAAAATAACATTCTAGATGGTAAGCACTGTGAGAAGATACTTATGTCAGGAGTGGAGGGAGGGTGAGAGAATGGGCAAGAAGAGCCAGCCCCACAGGCACTGAGGCAGGACGAGCATTTGCAAAGCTTCCACTCCCTCTTGACCGACTATTCTTTGAAAGGAACACAGCCCGAACTTTAACTAAAGGAGGCATTATGCTTCCAGAAAAGTCTCGGGGAAAAGCACTGCAAGCAACAGTAGTAGCTGCTTGGGCTCTAAAGGAAAGAGTGGAATGATTTAACCAGTTAGCATGGAAGTTGGAAATAAATTTCTCCTCCCAAAATATGGAGGCAGCAAAGTAGTTCTAGATGACAAGGATTATTTCTTACTTAGACATGGTGACACTCTCGGTTAAGTATGAAGACTGAATTAAATCACCACTGAAATGTCGTCCCATGAAGCTGTTCATTTCTACCTAAGTTCTAAAATCTTTCATCAGGCAAATAATTTCCACGTCTCTCTTTTAAACAAACTAATAATATCCAAAAAAAGTCTGGAGGAAACTTTTATGACTTACCCTGGTAATTAGATGTTATTTCTATATTTAATATCCTCTCATCCTAATTTTGAGAGAAATTCCTCTGACATTTCAAGTATTAACTCACATGATTAATTTATACATTTTGCCCTGAAACTTATTTTTTTTACTCTTGAGGACATCAGTATATCAAACTTATTGGACCATGAGCTTCATATTTGAAGTTACGTTTGAGGTTTTTCCAAATGGAACTTCTCTTTAAATTTATGCCTAGTTAGCTGTGCTTGTTGATTCTGGACTCTTGCCCGAGAATTACAGTCCAGTGAAAGAAACCTGAACTTCAATCACTTACACTTTTTAGAAAAATCTAAATAATTGTTCTTCAATTAGTGTTCACTCAGAGGAACTTTGCAGGGATCATTTTGACCAAACCTGAAATGCTAAAAACAGTGCAATGCTTTGGCTTTAACAAACGTTAGTATAAGAACTCAAACATTTGGGATAATGCTGGGACTAATCTGAAATTCTTTAATTTTGTTTCCTAAGGCGACCGCAACGTTGCCACCGATCGTTATCAATTATAATCCGCAGCAGTCTTCTCTCACTTCTGGAGCCAGGACTCCCCAGTGCCTCCTTTTCTGGAAGTTATTTTAACCGAGAAAACATCTTATTGAAACAGAGCCCTCCCTCCTCTGGGGGAGCAGAGCCTCTGCAGTTGGGCAGGAAGTCGTCCGGTGTCTATGAGGGGGATTTAAATTTGTGTCTTCTGAGGAATTATGTGAGAGCAGCTGCTACTACATATGTTGCAGTATCTACTGAAGGATTTGAGGATCAAATTAGATTTTTTAGGTTAAGAAAAGAAACCTTGAGAGATTAAATACACAAGGAAAAAAACATGATAGGCTAATGATGGAGTTACTCTCTTGAGGAATTCTCTTTGTCAGAAACAAAAATAGTTTATTATCAGTTATGCAGCTCAGGACAATCTTTGTGTAGAGGAGGTTCACTAAAACAAAAATTCGGTGCAAGTAAAGTTGGCTTTCAAAATCCGATGCGGGATAGTGGGCACGTATGTAACTGTACTGAATGATCCTGAAAGCTATTGTTCAGATTTTATTGGTTTTAGTATTTATCTCACGTTAGGGCAATAATGAACTTTTGAGTCTCCTGGGGCAGTTCATCTGAATGTACATGCATGCGTGTGGCATGTGTGTATATGGGCATGGATGAGAACTCAATCAATTTATATGCAAGAGACCCAATCATTTCTTTTTATTAAGTACAGTAAAGTTGCATACTACGTTTTAGTGTTTGAGTCAAATAAAATTTTACCACATCCTAAAACATAACTAAAAAGCTCTAGTTAAGGAAAGAAAGTCAATACTGATATTTTCTCAGTTAATATTTCTACCCCTGCCAGGTATTTTAAAAATATATTTTGTATAGTATCTAACCCCAAATTAAAATGCTTAAAGCATCCTTGCTGACCACGTTTCTGATATGCAAATATTCACATCAAACTTGATGAAGGTATTTGCAAATTCATCATATGCTACTTTCATGTTCACACTTTAGAGTTCTGTTAAAAGTTGGGTGGCAAATTTATTCCATCTGTCTTCCAATGTGCCAGTAAAGCAGTGAATAGGTCACTTATTCCATTTATTTCTAGTAAAAAGTAATTAATAAAATGAAATAAAAACCATAAAATTTGGATAAAGCCACATAAAACTTCCTTTTTTCAGTCTTTTACAGGTTTGAAAGGACTAATAATCTCAGAATTCTCTTTAGAATGAGGCTAATCCATTTTAACCAACAGAAAAAACTAAGAAGTTATCACTCTATATAAAAAAATCAAGTTCCAAAAAGGTTAAAATGTGTTTCCTATTATTGTGTATATGTAAAACCATTCTGCACACTAGAAGGGATCAGTAGCAAGATTACTTAAATTGGGTTTTAGAGAGCTGATAATTATTTCTTATTATGAAACTGGAACACTTGCCTAGAAATACTAATCTTTCACATAACCACAAAGAAAAAATTAAAGCTTCTTTAGACAGACAGTGGCGTTATTATCCAGGAAGAAGGGTGACTCACTGAGGAGAACACAGCATAGACCTGGGGCACAGACCCCAGCGTGCACATGTATGCGGCATACTGGGCAACACAGTTTTTGCTCTTGTGTCTCATCTCTAACTAAAATCAGATTTAAGACCTTGTCAATTAAAGGAACAAAACAAAACTCACTGAAGACTAACTTGACATTTCTTTCACATGTACTTCTGTGAATGTCGGCATGGGGTGGGGGCCGAAATAAGACAAGACCCCAGAGGGTCGCATCCCACTTCTCCCACTTGGCTAACAGGTGGCCTCACATGTGACTTCCCTGCCTGGGAACCCCACAGGTCCGCTGCCACAAAAGAATGTGGTGAACGCTGATTTCAAATGGCTGTTAGTTAACTAATGGAGAGTCCGATATGAAATGCTGATTATAAGGTGAGGGTTCAGTAATAAAAATCTCTTCGTAATAGTATAGATGAACACTTTTATTCCACTGTGCAGCCATGAGATAAAAATAAAGTATGAATATGACATTTAAAAAGAGAAAGAGAAATCTCTCTCAGCACAGTGGTGCTTGACTGGGAGGCACGCCTGCCTCGTGCCCAAGCTGCTGGGGTATTTCAGACTTTATCGTCTGAATGCCTAGTGACGCAGGTCGTTAGCACCCAGATTGTATACCTTATTACGGTACCTATTAAGCTAACCTGAAGCTTTTTTTCTTGGGTCCTTTCATTTTGTTGTAGTTTTACTTTCTCTTCATTTCAGGTTGGAAATGGAAAGAAAAATCAGAGAAACAGAGTGAGAAAACAAGTGCAATCGAACTGGTCAGTGGTGTGCTGTAAATAGCCCCGGCACTGTTTCGTCTGAAAGGGGAGGGAATGAGGAGTGGTCACGTTGCCTAAAGTTGAGTGTCAGGTTATCTGCAGATCCAAAGGCCCCTGCTAGCACCCTGAATAGTATTTGTGACCACTGCCCAGTGATTAACGTAAAGGATATCCTGGTTTATGCCCTGGAAAAGCTAATGCTATTTCCAAAGGTGCAAATGGGTTGTGGCCGAGACATTAGAAGGACGTGGAGCAGTGGAGAAGAGGGGACAGCAGAGGAGACCGTCTGAGATATTTTTGTTCGAATTACGTGCCAGTACATACGTATAATTCACTAACTACATTTAGCTTGTGTTTATATCTGCATGTGTAGTGTTTCCCCTTCACAGGAGCTTTGCTGTTGTCTTAAGCTGAATTTCTATCTTTCGGTTTTCCTGAGGTTATCTGGTTCATAGAGACCATCTAAGAGTTTTAATAGTTGAAGAGAACTATTCTTACCCTTTAAAAGTCTTACCTCTAAATCATTAAAAAATAAATGTGTATCAGCAAGATTAAAAATCATTTCCTCCATTCGGAGTCCCAGGGTGACAGCCATGGGGGGATCCTGAAAAAAAGAATGCATAGACAATGAGGTAAATTTCAGTATATACAGTTAGTATTAAAAAATGTTGTAAATAATAAAAGGACCCAGGGACATGGGCAACCTTGTAGTGATTGCTGGGGGTGGGGAGGGGGGTGTGAGGAGACTAAACGGTAATGAAAAAATACAATACAGATTAAATAAAAGATATTTTAAGTGCACATTGTTGTGGGGATGGGGAGATGTATGGATTTTTACCTAAGATCCAAGAGGTTTCCCAGCTATCTAAGCAGGTGCCTTTCCAAGGGGCTTATCTAGGACATATTCTCAGATACACCTGTGAATTTACAGGAATTCATATGCAGATAAAAATGACCAAGGGCACATTTTCGCAGGAAGCTACAGGTTCACGAGGGAGGAGGAGGGAAACAAACTAGCCCACAGGACCCAGCTGACAAACGCTCCACGGAAAGCCCTTTGGAGAAAGGCTTTGGACGGAATACTGAAGAATGAAACAGGCATCTTAAAAAGAAGAAACGATGTCCTTTCGAGAATGATGACACATCAGAATTGGGGTTGGGAGACAGGTAGTTCTATCGGGTGTTTGCAGGACGGAGGCCAACACTGTCGTGTGGAGTTGGGCTGAGAAGAGCGGGCGGACCACGGTGGAACCGCCTGTGGGTTAGGACCAGCAGGCAGTACTGACCTGCACAGAAGTACAGTTGGGTCTAACCCGCATTTGACCAAAGATGGAGAGGGAAGGGTCAAGGATAACAAAAGGAACACCATTAAATAAATGTAATCTAAGTAGAAAAACGTATACACTTAGAAGTTTAATGATAGTAAGGGGCTTAGCACAGAGTCAGAGTGACTTATCTGTTGTTTACAGAAACCAAAATACTACGCAGCAGCAAGAGCATGAGAATCAAGACCCGAGGTGGGGCTTGACCGTGGCGACCACAGCCGAAGGCCTGGCAACGAGAGGTGTAAGACTTAAAAAAGTAAGCGAGTTTAGAGACTGGCCTAGGGAAGGAATTCGTGCCCAAACACTGGGTTTACATGGATCGGTGCTGGAATAATCTCTGAAGAGAACTACTGCAGGTGTGACCCTGAAGATCCAGAAAACTGAAAACCTAGAAGGAACAAATCCTTAGAATGTGAGACCAGAATGAGCCTAATGTTAGTATGGAGAATATGGTTTTGAATAAAGCTGACAATTCTAGAAAGACACTATTGGTTTTGGCTGACCTCAGGTTATTTTGGAAGACCTCAGAAGGTGACTTGGGTTGAGTGGCTGGGCCGGGAGCCAGACTGTAAGGATTTAAGGAGAGAGTCCCAAAATTGTGTTTTCAATGTTCCAATAAATGGCCTTTCAAGAAATATATTTCAACTCAGAAAATGCAGTGCTTACGTGACATTAATTTATGATAAGAACAGGCAACCCAGGGTAGGCCCAGTGGTATCCATAGGCACCCCCAAACTTATTACACTTAGCAAGCAGAAGCCCCTCCTCACTCCACATCTGTGCTGCAGCAACCAAGTCTCTCCCTGCACCTCCTTCCATAAGGCTTTCAGGGGGCCACCTGAGCATGTGAATGTATTTGAAGTGAGTGTCACCTTGTATCCCATCGTGCCTGAAACCTAGAGAACAGGAACTGAGTGCTAAGCTAAGAAAAGAAAGAGGTCGCTGCAGAGGTGTGTTGAGCAAAGCAAAGACTTGACACAGGAGAAAGACAGGACGATAATACTATGTCGGGCATCAACATCGTTTTCTAATTGTTACATCTCTTCTTCCTCAGAGACTCCTGTGGATTTCATAGCTTGAGATCCCGCCTCCTCAAAAACAGATGCTCAGTGTTCACATGCTTGACGGCCACCCCGTCTCGTGTCCTTTGGGAAAGGGGCTGCTACTTTGACTGTGCTGCGTGGTGCACGTGTCTGCCAGGGGCAGGATCATTCGGAGCAACGCACCCAAAGGTCGAGTCAATTCCACTTTCTCCGACACACAGTCCCTCAGGACCAAGAACAAAAACAGGAAGCACCCATTTTGTCTGAAGGACTTTCAGAATTCAGAGGGAGCTCTTGCTCTGTTTCCTCCAAGCATAAAATTGTTTTTCCCTACTTCTTTCTGTTGTTCATGTTTTTGTTGTTGTGGAAAGAGAATCTTTAAAGTTTGAATAAAATCTTTTAAAATTTACATTTGTCTTTCTTTCTGTGAAATAATTCCTCTTTCTGTCTCTTTGGGGGTGGGGGTTGGACAGACTGAGGATGTAGAAAGCTTGTAGGTATTCTGTCTAGTCATGAACAAAACGTCTACAAAAATACCAGCAAAAATCAGACGTAATTATAGCATGAAAACATGTAATTCCATTAGCGACGCTCTGTGCTCTTGAGGAATGTTGACTGACGCTACACAACAAACCGAGCCCCACGCTGCCCCGTATGTTTCTGATGATCACTGCCCCACAGATATGTGTGAGAGATGGGGGTTCAGAACGTCTTATGTAAAAGGTTTTCCTTCCCGAGACTAGGTTGGTCAAGTACGTATCCTAAGATTTGCTGGTGTTTCTTTCCTAAGTTTTAAATAAAAGTATTGACTTTCTTATGTTCATGCCTCACATCCTTTGCATTTACAGATCTGGTTTATGGGGAGGGAAGAAAACATACTCTTCCTCTCTGATTCCTACTTTCATTGATGCCATGCTTCTGAAGCACGTCCCTTTCTCTGTTGCCCCACCGGTGACAGGAAAATCCATGAAAAATGCATTTTGCGCATCTGATAAGCATGCAAACAAATGCAATTTTTAGAACACCGACGAGAATTCTCTGACGAGCAAGCGCAGGGCACGGTCGGGAAACGGCCCCTGAGCCCTGCACTGGAATGCGGCCCCACGGCCCTGGAAGGGGCCGCGCGTTTGTTTGTCAAACCACGGCCAGTCCACATCACACACTCTGCGAGAGCCGGGACTTCGTAAGCACCTTGGCAAACTGTCATTTGTGAACTGGGAAAGTTTAGGTTTGAGGTGTGCCAGAATGTGAACTAGCTGCATTTAAGGTTTCCAAAGAGCAGGCCTTATTCGAAAGGGAGGTGTTTCGTCTGCCACGCCAAAGGCTTGGCACGGAGTGGCGGGGGACAGTCACGCTGCAAGCCAAGGAAAACCAAGGCTGCGAGAGGCGGTGATCTAGCTCCTAAGAGAATGTCTAGTGAGGGCTTGCTTTCAAATGTCTGATTTCACTTTCTTCCTCCCCCTCCCCCTGTCTCACTAAGTCACTGGGACAGTTGACTCGAAGTAAGCGGATTATGGTATCAGCGTTTCCCAGCTAAGGGCCCACAAACGTAAGGACCCAATAAGGTGACCGGGACTTTGGAGGGAATGGCTTAGCAGGGTCTCTGTGGCCCTGGGCTCCCTCTGCCCGGCCAGACAACTGCGGAGGAGCTGCCGACGCCTTCAGTGCCACGGCTTTATCAGGCATTTGAGAGTTAAATATAGTTCTGGACTGAACCCAAGTTTTATACAGAGATGTTTGTTCATTTTCATTAGATGTTTGTAGAATTATGGGCACCTTATGAATCAAGAATTACTGCCTTTTTTTTTTCCAGTTTACCTGTAGGGAGTGTTGAGTTTAGGGTCTGAAATAAAGTGATAGTGAAAACTTGGACAGAGGAAAAACGGGGGATAATAAAGGCACCAATAGGGTTTTGTGAAAGCTCCGATGCATATTTTACATATGTAACAGTTCCAATAGGTCCAAAGTGTCTACAGCGGAGTTTAATATGGGGCAATCTGAACCTCTGCCAACTTACTCTGTGCACTGTGCTATTAAAATACTGAAACTGCTCCCAAGACATTTGGAGGGGGGTGTGCGTGCATGTGTGTGTGTGAGAGAGAGAAGATGAAAAAATGAGTAACTCTTGGCCTTTAAATGTGTGACTCTAAGCTGGATGTTACCAGCACAGAACCAAGTCAGGTTCAAGTAAGGCACTTCTCTGTATCTAAATACTAACCCTATCGGCCATGTTAGCACATGGCGTAGGTTGGAGCCAGACTGTCTGTCTGGGGGCCTCTGCCCCGAACTGGGCCATCAGCTGCAATGCCTCCTCTGGGGACACAATATAAAAATATCTCAGGAGAGAAAGCAATTATGTGTTTTTTTTTTAAGCGAGGGACTTTTTTTTATTTTTTAAGAACTCAAGTCCTTGGAACAGTTACTCCTCTGGGCCTGCAGCACATGCAGACTCGCACACAGAGATGCAGAGATGTGCTGGTTCATTACAGAAGAGGGAGGACGAACTTGCTCCATGAACCAGGGTGGAAACAGGGCGTGGGTCTGTTAGGAAATAAACTCTTCCAATCAGTGACAAAAGATGAAGTTCAGTCATGAATCAGCAGGGAAATTTCGCAGCTGAGATGTTTGTCTAGGGTGGATAGGCAGTAGGCTTAAGAGTTCTCAGGAAGACTTGGAGAACGGTTTCAGGAACATTCATTATTTAGCAAGGATTTATTGAGTGTCTGCTACGTGTCAGAAATATTCAAATTCTGGGCCAAGACCAGAGAATCAAGTAAGCAAAGTCTCTGCCACTAAGGAGTTTATATTATCACTGGATGAGCTACCTGATAAATATGCAAACAAATAAAAATAGAATATACATAGTATTTCGGGTGGTGAAAAAAATCAGAGTTAGCAGATACAGGAGGCTATTGGGACAGGTGGCGAGGGCTCCTTTAAAGAAAGTACAGGGAAGACCTTATTCTGGAGATGGTAGCTGAAGAGACCTGAACAAGGCGAGGGGGCTAGCCATGCACCAACAGCAGTGGTGGCAAGGGGCATTTGCAGAGGTGACAGTGAGTCTAGTGGGTGTGGAACGGTGTGGGGCAGAGCGACCCAGGTCAGGGGAGTAAAGTGAAGCAAGTATTACAAAGAAGAGAGAGTGCTCCACTGGGGCAAGTGCGAGCGAGAGGCCCCAGCAAGATAAACCACATGTTGGGCAAGAGAAGGTCATTCCTTGGACTTGCCAGTTGTTT